TGGATTGTTATATGTAGGAGCCCCCAGTAAGATGATTTATTTAAAAAAATAAAATAAATAAACTGTGCCTGACTGGAGTCATGATGTTTTCAGTTGCCTTGTATTCACGTGGAAGCTGGGAAATGAATAGGACAACCCAGGAAAATGAATGACTCTGAACTGTGGTATCGAGTGCCCTGTGGTCTACCTGAAGAACGAATGGAATCTCGCCTGGAAGCAGTGCAGCCAAAAGGCTCCTTAAAAGTGAGGGTGGTAATACTTGATCTCTTGTGCTTTGGATGACTTATCACGGTAAAAGAGAGGGTCAGTGAGAAAGAGGAAGGTCCTGAGGGACAAGTATTTACACTGTCGTTGCAACGATGAACTCAAACATAGCAATGCCTTGGAGGATGGCATAGAATAGACAGTTTCATCATGTTGTGCAATGAGTCAGCTCTGACTTAGTATGTAGCAACATCAGCATCACCCTCTTAGATGGTACCCCGTGTATAGTTGGCATATAGTATATGTTTATTCTTTCTCTTTCAATACTCATCAAAGTAACAAAGCCATAGGTATTATTTTTAGGTTTTTGTTTTGTTTTGTTTTGAAGCTAGGGAGATCAGAACCTAAGGAGTTAAGAGATGTGCCGATGGTTATATAGCTAGTCTTCAGTGTGCTTATCATTTTGGTGGGGATGACACTGTGTGTGAAATTCACAGCAAGCATTTGATGTGTGTCATTGCTGACCAAAGAGGAGAGCCTTGCTTTATGCTAACGATGGGATTTGGTTCTGTATAAAACAGCAAATGGAAGTGTAACTGATGAAAGTGTTAGCTGCTTTTCAATTTTTGCTGTCAATATGACAATTTGAAATTGAGTTCTAACAAGAACTGTTTAGAGTCATATTTTCCCCTACGGCAGCCATATGTCTCTTTCAAATTGAAATAGTGATAATTTTCATCCACTTAGTCTGCTTCCTCCCCTCATGTCTGTTGTATTGTTGTACTGTGGTGGTTTATGTGTTGCTGTGATGCTGGAAGCTATGCCACTGGCATTTCAAATGCCAGCAGGGTCATGCAAACTGAACAGGTTTTAGCAAGCTTCCAGACTAAAAGCAGACTACAAAGAAGGATTCAGCTGTCCATTTCTGAGGAAGTAAACATTGAAAACCTATGGACATCATTGAAACATTGTCAGATATGGGAAACTTCTGAAAAGAAGCAGCACATTGTCAGAAACAGTGTCACTTGAAGATAAGCCCTTCAGGTCAGAAGGCAATCAAAAAATGACTGAGGAAGAGCTGCCTTCTCAAAGTAGAGCTGACTATAACGATGTGGCTGGATTAAGGCCAACAGGAGCAAAGCCTTCAGGACCTTGGTTGGCTGATGGGACATGACTCAAAATGAGAAGAAGCAGCTGCAAATATCAATAGAAGTAGGAACTTGTAATGTACAAAGTATGAATCTAAGGATATTGGAAGTCATCAAAATTGATATAGAAGACATCAAGAAATCCACAATCTAGGCATTGGTGAACTGAAATGTACTGGCTTGGCCATTTGAATTAGACAATCACATGGTTTATTATTAAGAGGAATGGTGTTGCATTCAAAAATGACATTTCAAGATCGTTCTTGAAGTATAATGCTGTCTGAGATAGGATTATATCAAACTACATTCAAGGAAATCCAGTCAATACAACTATTATTCAAATTTATGGACAACCTTAATACTAGTGATGAAGAAATTGAATTCCACCAATGACTTCAGTCAGAAATAGATCAAACATGGAATCAAGATAAATTGGTAATTATTGGAAATTTTAATGCAAAAGTTAGAAGCAAAGAGGAAGGAACAGTAGTTGGAAAGTATGACTTTGGTGATATAAATGCATCAGAGATAACATGGTAGACAGCTTTTTCAACAGCACAAAAGGTGACTATACACACAGCCTTCTCCATACTGAAGATTCAGAAACCAAATTGACTCCATCTATGGGAAGAGACATCTGAGAAACTCAATAGCAATAACTACAATCAGGCCAGGTGCTTACTGTGGAACAGATCATCAGCTGCTCACATGTCAGTTCAGGTTGAAACTACAGAAAATTAAAATAAGTTCATGAGAGGCAGAATACCACTTTGAGTTTATCCCAAGTGAATTTGTAGAACATTTCAAGAACAGATTTGACACATTAAATGCTAAGGACAAAAGTCTTGATGAGCTGTGGGATGATATAAAAGACATCAAACACAAAAACAAAAACAAAAAGGTCATTAAAAAGACAAGAAAGACAAAAAAGAAAAATGAGATCAAAATGGATGTCAGAGGAGAATCTGAAACGTGTTCTTAATCATTGAATAGCTAAAGCAAATGGAAGAAATGATGAAGTGAGACAGATCATCTCAAAGGGCAGCTGGAGAAGACAAAATAAAATGTTATAACAAAAACGTGCAAAGATCTAGAGTTAGAAAACCAAAAAGGAAGCACATACTCAGCATATCTGAAATGGAAAGAACTCAAGAAAAATCCAAGCCTTGAGTTGCAGTAATGGCAGGTTCTGTGGGTGAAAATATTGAATGATTCAGGAAGCATCTTCAGAAGATGGAAAGAATGCAGTCACGGTTCCAAAGAGTACTAGTTGTCACTCCACATTTCAGGAGGTAGCATATGAGCAAGAATCAATGGTGCTGAAGGAATAAGTTCAAGCTGCATAGAATGCCATTAATCAAACACAAGGCTCCAGGGATGGATGGACTAGCAATTGAAATGTTTCAATAAGCTGATGAAATACTGGAAGCGCTCACTCATCTATGCTGGGAAATTTGGAACAGTTACTTGGCCACTTGACTGGAAAAAATAGATTTTTGTACCCATTCCAAGGAGCCATGGTGGTGTAGTGGTTAGCTGTTGGGCTGCAATTCCCACAACCAGCAGTTCGAAACCTCCCGCAGCTTTGTTGGAGAAAGAACGGGCTTTCTACTCCAGTAAACAGATACAGTCTCAGAAACTCACAGGACATACCTGAGTCACCAATTACTCAATGGCACTGCGTTTAGTTTCCTAGTACCCATTCCAAAGAAAGGTGATCCAATAGAATGTTCAACTTATAAAACAATATCGTTAATATCATATGCTAATAAATTTTGCTGAAGCTCACCCAATGGTTGCAGCAATACATCGACAGTGAGCTGCCAGAGGCTCAGCCTGGACTCAGAAGAGGACATAGAACACATGTTATCATTGCTGATGTCAGATGGATTTTGACTGAAGGCAGAGAATACTAGAAAGATGTTTACTTGTATTTTATTGATTATGCAAAGACATTTGACTATGAGGACCATACCAAATTATTGATAGCCCTGAGAAAAATAGAAATTCCAGAACATTACAGTCTGCTCATATGGAACCTGTACATGGCTTAAGAGGCAGCTGTGTGAACAGAACTAGGCCAGAGCAAGGATTTAAAATCAGAAAAGAAAAAAAAATCAGGAAAGGTAGGTGTCAGAGTTGTATCTTCTTACTACACTTATCCAATCTGTATGCTGGCCAAATATTTAGGGAACTGGTTTATATGAAGAAGAATGTGGCATCAGGATTGGAAGAAGGCTAATTAACAACCTTGATATGTAGCTGTCACAACCGTGTTTACTGAAAGTGAAGGGGACTTGAAGCATTTGCCAATGAAGACTAAGGACTGCAGTCTTCAGTATGGGTTACAACTCAATGTAAAGAAAACCAAATCCTCACAACTGGACCAGTAGGTAACACCATGATAAATGGAGACAAGATCGAATTTGGAAGGATCTTACAGTCAATGTTCATGGAAGAAACAGTCAAGAGACCAAAAGATACATTGCTTTGGGTCAATCTGCTGCACAAGAGCTCTTTAGAGCATTGAAAAGTAAGAGTATTACTTTGAGAACTAAGGTGTGCCTGAACCAAGGCATAGCATCTTCAGTTGCCTGACATACATGTGAAAGTGGGACACTGAGTGAGGAAGACTGAGTAAGAATCCATGCATTTGGATTCTGGTGCTGGTGAAGAATAATTAAAGTATCCTGGAATGCCCAACAAACAAAGAAATCTGTCCTGGAAGAACACAGTCAGAATGCTCCTAACCATCAAGGAGGGTGAGACGTACTTTGGACATGTTACCAGGAGAGACCAGTCCCTAGGGAAAGATGTCATGCTTGGTAAAGTGGAGGGGCAGTGAAGATTGGAAAGTTCTCAATGAGATGGATCGACACAGTGGTTACAACCAAGGGCTCAAACCCGAGAACGCCTGTGAGGCTGGCTTAAGACTGGGCAGTGCTTTACTTGGTCGTGCAGTGGGTGTCCGTGACTTGAAACTGGTTGGATGGCCCCCAACAGCAACAACAGTCAACGTTAAAGTAAACAATCTTACTACGTTATAGGCATCTGCATCCTTCTGATTTGGAGGATTCTTTTTTCCCACGAAAATGTTTTGACGTGTAGACATACTTTCTGCACAATGATAAGGATTTTATTTTATTTATAACAACGAAAAGTACGAAATTACTGAAGTATCCAGTATTATTTACATGTATGTGGTTCTATGTCTAAATATTTTATGGGCAGTTAAGACAGATAACATTAGGTACTTGAGAGATCCTTATGATCGATTAGACACTTCATAAAGTAACATAAAATTACAGACACAGAACCAGAATGACTCGACCATGCCTAAGCCATTTATGATCCACTATACTTGACCCGGATCCCTTGTTGTAAGCCCCCAAACCTCTTCATATTCACCTTTGTTGAACTCAGCACCTTTGTAATGATTTGTTCTCTGTTTGCCTTATCTGCCCAAATGCAGGTCCTCTGATTGCAGAGTTTGTGTTAGTTTTACCCTCGAAACCAGCTTGTAGTATTGCACCTGGTGCAATTAAAACTCATTACCATGGGGTTGATGCTGACTCATAGAGACCCTGTAGGGCAGGGTAGAACTGCTCCTGTGAGTTCCAAGACTGTAGCTCTTTTTTTTCCTTTAAGATCTGAGTTCAAGTTTAATACAACTACAAAAGATCAATGGGCATATGCCCCACTACTAGTACATGATACACATCAGCTGCCCTGTCCAAGCAACCCAGTGTCATTTGGAACTGCCAAAATTGGGCACCCTGCTTCCAATTTCAAAGTTACAGCTGTTATGCCTGATGGTCAGTTCAAAGATATCAGCCTGACTGACTACAAAGGAAAATGCATAGTGTTCTCTTTTTACTCTCTTGACTTCACCTTCGTGTGCCCCACGGAGATCATTGCTCTCAGTGACAGGGCCGAAGAATTTAAGAAACTCAACTGCCAAGTGATTGGTGCTTCTGTGGATTCTCACTTCTGCCATCTGGCTTGGACCAACACATCCAAGAAAGAAGGAGGCCTAGGGCCTATGAACATTCCTTTGGTATCAGACCCCAAGCGCACCGTTGCTCAGGACTATGGGGTCTTAAAGGTGGATGAAGGCATCTCGTTTAGGGGCTTCTTCATCATTGATGATAAAGGAATCCTTAGGCAGATCACTGTAAATGACCTCCCTGTTGGCTGCTCTGTGGATGAGACTCTAAGACTGGTTCAGGCCTTCCATTTCAGGGATAAACATGGAGAAGTGTGTCCAGCTGGTTGGAAGCCTGGCAGTGATGCTATCAAGCCTGATGTCCAGAAGAGCAGAGAGTATTTCGCCAAGCGGAAGTAAGCACTGGACCATTTCAATGCTAGGCTGCCATAAGTAGCCTTGAGAAAAACAAGCAAAATCTCTATTGTGTTCTTCTTCTTGTTCAAACATAAGGCCTTAAACTCTACTGAGAACATGGTATTTGATAATAGGATAAGTTTTTTGTTAGGCGCTTGGGAGGGGCAGTCTTTCTACACCCCGTGAAAATGACTGTAACTCTTTATGGGAGTAGAAAGCCTTATCTTTCTCCCAAAGAGTGGATGGACATTTGAACTGCTGGCCTTGTGGTTAACAGCCCAATGCATATCCATTACACCACTAGGGCTCCTTTCCTCACACAATTACATGATCAATAGTATTATGGGAGTGAGTTAACAAATTAATTACCTAAGAGAAAATACGTAACTATGTGAAGTGAACCCTGATGGCATAGGGGTTAGCATTGGGCTAACCCAACAAGGTTGGAAGTTCAAACCCATCAGCTGCTCTGTTGGAGAAAGATGAGGCTTTCTGCTCCTGTAAAGGTTTGTAGCCTCAGAAGACCACATGGGGCAGTTCCACCCTGGACTATTAGGGTCCCTGTGAATCAAACTGACTAGATGGAAGTGTGTGAAGTGATTTTGGTCTTTTGGCAGAAGATCAAGTGTGAGGGATTCATAGGCAGATGCTTTACATTTGTCATCTAGTACTACCGCTCGCTGTTGTCTCTCTTTTAGGCTCCTTTCCTGGTCTGTACAACAAAGATGACCACAGCAGCGTGCAGACCTAGAGGGACAGTGAGGATTAGAAGAGGAGCACTGCACAGGGAGCACAGTGCTCGGGACAAAGAAAGTGTTCCATATGTTCTGGCCACAACAATCATTAGTTTTGTATGCTCCTTGTATTCCACAAGTGAATGCATTATATGAATTTCAGAAAGACAAAATTTAAGAAGAAATAAAACAAACAAAATTGGTTTATCTCTAGGAGTGCCTTCCCCTTTATGGGCTGTTAATTGTGTGTACACAGCTGTAAGTTCATATTGGTTATTGTGCAAAGTAAAATTAAGTTTCACATTCAACAGTATCATTACCCCTAATAATAACATCAACTCCAAATCCTTTTTCTAGAAGGTAATTCAATGTTACCTCCACAGAGAATCCTTTCATGTTTTGCGTTGTACTATGTTTATTTTATTTGTCTGTTTTCATTAAAAGTGCCTTTAAGGGAAATTATAGTATTTGTTAGTTGTTCTGGGAATTTAGAATATGTAGATGGAATGTTCTCTGAAATGTTTCCGACTTTTTAGATTTTTTTTCCTTTTCATGAATCCTGGCTTTTTGATGCTTGCAAGGCACTGATTTTGTTCACAAGCTCTGGAGATTATTTTCAAGTTAAAGACTTTCTGGCACAGAAAAATATAGTGTGTGGCATAGAAAATATATCATACACCCCTGCAGATGTTTGTTGAATATCCTTTAGTCAATATGTGTGAAATAAAAAAAAAATTAAGTTGACCTTGGACTTTCCTGAGGATCTATATTGATAGCCCTCATTAACAGTAAAAAGAAATTCCATATTCAAATCTATCATTGCCTCTAATAATATTTCTGGCAAGCTCCAAATCCTTTCTCAAGATGTAAGTTCAATGTTGTCCCCACCAAGAAGCCTTTGAGTTTTACTAAACTTACTGTATTTAAATGTTTTTATTAAAAGTACCTCTAAGGAAAATTACTCATTTTCAAACATTTTGTACTATCTGTGTTTAGTAACAAAGCCCTGGTGGCGTGATGGGTTATAAGTTGGGCGGCTTAGCTCAAGGTCGGCAGTTCAAAACCATCAGGTTTTCTGAGGGAAAAAGATGAGGCTTCCTACTCCCAGAAAGAGCTACAGTATTGGAAACACACAGGGACAGCTTTACTTCTCCTACAGGGTCGCTATGAATCAGAATGGACTCAACAGTGAGTTTGGGTTTTTTTGTGTGTGCTTGGTAAATTTCCTGATGTGTGATATGGTCAGGAAATAGTTATTAAATGAATAACCCACTGAGTGAATCAAAGAATCTTACAGAGACACTTTAAAAAAGCGTTTTATTGGCACACAATCTCATACTATAAAATTTATAGTTCAATCATATTGAGTTGTATGATCATTTCCACAATTTTAGAACATTTTCTTCTTTCTTTTAATCATTGTTGTAAGATTCTCATTTCTCCTCAACCTCCAATGTCATTAGAAATCCACTTATTATCGCTATAGATTTACCTATCCTGGATTTTATATACATAAACATACACACACAAAGCAATTGTTTTAACAATAACAAACATTAACAATAATAAACACAAATTAACAATAACAAACCAAAATAGAAAAATGTCAATGAAAAACAAAGTAGAAAATAGTAAAAATTAGAACAAATTTAAAATAGGTCCAAAGAGAGATCAAATGATAGGGTGTTAAATTTTAACCTAACTTCATCTGCAATAATTGACCTCCCAATGCACTGTGCATGATAGCAAGGCTCTTCAGATCCCTGGTTAGAGGGGATTCACCAGAAGCTTAATTCACCTGTATTTCCCCATCACTTAAAAAAAAAACCCAAAGACAAAACAACAGAAACAACTGAAACAACCTTTATTTGGTCAAAAGGGAGAGTAAATAATAGGATATTGCATTGAAACCTAACTACATCTGCCATTGAGTGGTTTAAAATCAGGAAAGGTGTGTGATAGGGATGCATCCTTTCATCATATTTGTTCAATCTGTATGCTGAGCAAATTCTCAGAGGAAATGGATTATATGAAGAAGAATGCAGCATCAGGATTGGAGGAAGGCTTTTTAACAACTGGCAATATGCAGATGACACAACCTTGCTTGCTAAACATGAGGACGACTTGAAACACTTGCTGATGAAGGTCAAGGATTGTTGTCCTCTGTATGGATTAAGACTCAATGTAAAGAACACCAAATTCATCACACCCGGAGCAACAAGTAACATCATGACAAATGGAGAAAAGGTGGAAATTGTTAAGGATTTCATCTTGCTTGGATCTTCAATCAATGCTCATGGAAGTAGCAGTCAATAGATCAAAAGATATCTTGCATTAGGTAAATCTGTTTTATAAGACCTCTTTAGAGGATTGAAGAGCAAGGAGGTTACTTTGAGGACTACAGTATGCCTGACTCAAGGCATTGCATTTTGCATCACCTCCTATGCATGTATAAGTTGGACATTGAATAAGGAAGATCAAAGAAGAGTTGTTGTGTTTGAATTATGATGCTGGAGAAGATTATTGAAAGTACTGTGGACTGCTAAAAGGACAAAGTGACCTAATTTGGAAGAAGTATGGAAGTGTTCCTTAGAAGTAAGGATGGCAATGCTTCATTTCACTTTGGACTTTTTGTCCAGAGAGACCCGTCCCTGGAAAAGGACATCATGTTTGGTGAAGCAGAGCGGCAGAGAACTAGAGGAAGGCCCTCAACAAGATGACTGACACCATTGCTGTAACAATTGCGCCGGCAGCTGTTCGGATGGCCCAGGACTATGCAGTGATTCCAATCCCAAGTTAGCGTTGGAACCACCCTTGTAAGTCAGTTAGCACTTGCCAGTGGCCTTGCTATGCGTGTCTCTTACACGAGTTGGACCTGGTGTTTTAGGAGGAAGACGTTTCTGGTCTGAAAGACACTGAGGTCAAGATTTTGCAGCGTGCATGAGTTATTTGCCAGGTCATGTCATCCATCTGCCCTTCTCGTGTCTGCTGTGATCTTCTCAACACACTGCTCCTGCAGCCCCAGCTTTCTGCATATGCTGCCTGATTTCTCTGTTCGTTTGATTGTTACCGCTAGTATTGCTTCTATGTGAAATCAAATGAGAAGAGCTCCTTGGCAGCTTCAATCATTTCTCCATTTATCTTGATTTTGCTTCTTGGTCTATTTGTGACTATTTTTTTTTCTTACGTTGATGTGTAATCAATACTGAGTGCTATAATCTGGTCTTCATCAGTAAAGGCTTCTAGTCCTCTTTGCTTCTACTAAGCAAGGTTGTGTTATTTGCATATTACAAGTTGTTAATGGGCCTTCCTCCAACCTTGATACTTTTTCTTCTTTATATAGTCTGGTTCTTGGATTATTTGCTCAGCATACAGATTGAATAAGTATGATTCAAGGCTGATACAAGTAACATATTTTTGGTCTTCTCTGTTTTCAGCCATGGGCCATCTGACATCTTTTCTTCCATGTGCTTTTCTGAATCTGGCTTGAATTTTGGACAGCTCGTTGCTAATACAAGATATTGCTGTATATTGTATATTGCTACAACTGTTTTGAATGATCTTCAGCACAATTTTACTTGTGTGTTTTAATAAAATGTTATTGTTCTATGATTTTTGTATTATATTGGGATTACCTCTCTTTAGAATGGGCACCAATATCGATCTCCTTCAGTCAGTTGACCACATAGCTGCCTTCCAAATGTATTGGCATAGGCAAGTGATCACTTCCAGCACATGTGTTTGTTGAAACATTTTTATTGACATCTCATCAATTCCTGAGGTCTTATTTTATTCTAATGCTTTCAGTGCATCTTGGAATTCTTTCATTTTTATTTTTGATCAAATGTTACCTCCTGAAATGGTTGAATGCTAAGCCTTTAATCAACAACAAAACAGTACTTTATTGACATATAATTTACATATCATACAGTTCAACAGTTCAATCATATTAAAAAGAGTTATGCAATCATCGCCATGATAACTTTTTGGACATACTCTTCTTTCTTGTACCCACTGTTGTTAGCTCCTCACTTTTCCCTTCCCTCTCAACCTCCCTTGCAATGCCCCTAAGAAATTATTAATCTAGTTACTGTCACTAGATTCACCTATCCCAGATGTCATATACAGAAAAACATATAAACCCCAAACAAACAAAAACCCTAACAATAATGACAACATAAAACAGAGAAAAACATTAATCGAAAAGGAAGCAGAAAACATTAAAAACTGGAACAAGTATACAATGGGTCAAAAGGGAGACCAAATGAC